TTGCTATTTTTTATTTTCGATCGGCTGTAACATTTTCTTCTTAATATTCCATTTCAAATGTTTTTAAACATTATCAAAATAATTTTCGTTAGTTTGTATTCTTTATATATATCAATGTTTTTTGTTTTTTATTTTGACATTCACAATAAACCCATGTCTATTTTTTATTCAATTAAATAAAAAATTATTATGATTACATCAAATATGTATCGCGATAGATCAAATTCTTAAATATTCTAAATATGTAGAATAAATTAAATATTTTAAATATATAGAATATGTACAAAATTATATGCAAGATAATTATTCTTATTTACAAAATATAAATAAAATATAAATATAAATAATGAATGAATTTATGAAAAACTAAGCAAAAATAAATATTGTGATAGATAATAATAATTAATAATAATAATGTTTACATTATATAATCTTATCATAAGATAAATTTATAAATTTTATAAAATGATTAAATTATTCTGATCTTATGACTTTAAATGATCTTGAAAGTTATTGTGTGACACATGCTTGAATTTGTTTTGAAATATTTTCATATATAAAAAATATATAACAAAATTTAGAATAATTTCTTCAGTTAAAAATTAAAATCTCCAAAAAAATGTAACTACAAAAAAATTATATGAATTATTATATTGTTTACAAAAAATAATACAATTTTTTTCTCTATCACATTTTCCATATGTTAACTATTTTCGAAAAAATGCTGAAAGATAATAATATCTTATGTATTAATAAAAATTTAATATATTATAATAAATTAATACAAATTTTATATATTTTAATTTTTTAATTGAAATGCGATGATATTTTATTCTATTTTTAAAAATAAATGTATTTGAAATTCTATTTAAATTATTTATTCATTTAAAAAAATTTCAATTTTATTATAAACATTATTATAGATGCATCTGAAAAAATCCTTTCATTTTTTCTTGTTTTTAGAATATCAATAAATTTTTTATTTAAAAAAAGATTTCAATATATATTTTTTGTATTATATCAAGTAAATAATAATAAAATAAATTGAAATATTAATTTTATTTTTTTCAAGTCATTAGAATTGTATAATTTGTAAATTGAGTAATATAAATTTTATATTATGTATTATTAAGTTATATCATTAAATAATATACGCATAATCAAGTATGTAATATAAATCAAGTTTTTGGAATTCTGTTTATATATATAACTTTTTACAATGTTTTTTTCTAAGACGTTTATAATATCTTTGGAATTAACGAAGTTATAATTATTTATAAAGATGTATATATTACTGATTTTGATAATCTTCAAATATCATTGTCAATATTCTAATTTTATATATAATTATCTATAATCATCTGTATATATTTGATTTATTTGTAAAAATATTTTTAATATCATATATTATATTTTTAAAATATTTAGTATAAGTATGAAATATGTTTAAAATAAGTTTGGATACATCGAACTATGAGATATTAATAATGTAGTCAGATATATAAATATTTCGAAATAAATTTTCGGAATCTTATGATATGTACATATAATGAATAATAATAAATATTATTTCACATTATTGTGTATATGTTAATAATAATGATATTAATATAACTTAATAATAATATATTTATTAATATATATTTTTTAATACTGCATTTTATTAAAATTTTTAATATTTGAATTTATTATATATATATATATATATATATATTATTATATATAATATTTGAATTATTAGTATAAATAATTTAACAAACATAAAATCTTCAAATCAATATTGAATAAAGGTTTGAATTTTTACAAAAATGATGATTTTGTTTCATTTTTTAATGAATTAGTTTTGGTTATGCTAAATAAACATATAATATATATAATGTAATCGAAAACTTTATAAATATTTTAATTTATAAAGTACTGAAAAATAATATACATATATATATAATATAAAATATTGAATAATGATTTTCTAATATTATATATTTTCTAATAAATAATAAGCGATGAATAAATTTTCTAAAGATTAATTAAGAAATTATTTCTGTAGAAAATGTTACAATTAAGATTATTAGAGTCCTTAAACTATAAATTATCTAATATTTAATTACTTGGTAAATATTTTTGTTGATATCTAAAAAACTAAAACCAAATAGCAGTTGTATGTACACATATGTTAATAAATTCATCCAAATACTTTTGAAGAATCAATTTTAGAGATCAAAATAAACAGAAAAATTGGTATATAAAAATACCAATTGAAATTTATTTATTATGTTAAAAATAATTGAAGTTTAATTAAGCATTACCTGAAACCAAGATAAAGCAAGATACAATGAAGATAAAGTTGTTTTATAATCCATCTCATTTTATTTGCTTATATATAAATATAAATTTTAATTGCTTATAGCTTAATAAATAAGCTTCAACTATAATTTTTGTATATCAATTTTTTTTTTTTTAATTTTTAGAATCAGTCTTTCAAAGATATCTTAAGAATAATTCTGTAAAATGCAATTATTTTTTTCTTTATTTCATTTTCAAAAATTGTTATACCTGGATTTGTTTTATTTAGTAATATTTTTAAAATTATTATTTAGAAATAGTTTCTACGACATTTATAGTTCCTAATAAATTGTATACTTTTTCTGGATTGTTGTAGGTGTCAAATTATCATATTTTTCTATTTAGCTATTTGATTTGGTTATTTTTTTTATATCATTATCTTTTTTTGGCCAAATTTTGATATTTATTTTCATATTTTATTTAATTTTATTAACATTATAAAATAGATATTTTTTTTTAATCTTTTATACATATTTAATTTATATAATAAATTTTTATTATAGTTGTTATTTAAAGTCTCTTCCATTATATGTTACTAAACCATTAACATTATCATACTCTCTATGTTAACAAAACTAATTATTAAACTAAATTATTAATTAACATTATCATATTTCTAAACTATTAACATTATCATATTTTCTATACTTTAACAAAGCATTTCCTCTTTTTAATTTTTATATATGTACATTTTCTTTTTTCTACAAATGACTTTAAATTGATTAAGTTTATTAATTCTTGCAATTAATCTTAATTATAAATAGTCATGGATGTTTAATCAGTATTTTTATCATATTTTCTAGTCTATGCTGTATATTATTTTCATAGGATATTTTATTTCTAATCTTTAAACTTAAGTCTTAGACATATATAATTAATTATATGTATATATTATTTTTACTTAATATTTTTTGTCATTAAATGTAATTAAGTTTTTGATTTTTTTTTTTTAATTTTGCCTTTAGTTGTTCTATAAGATATTAAATTCATTCATAAAATTTTAATTAGTGTAATAATTATTTTTTTATATAAAATAGAAATATTCGTTGATTATGTTTTATTTAAATATTATATATTATTTCATAATTATTTAGATATTACTTTTTGATTATATTTTACAAATTTCATAGATTATTATTAGAATTATATTGCTATATTCTATATATTTTATTTATATTTTATTATTATTTCTATTTTTCTTCTTAGAATCTGATGAAATTGATTTTTTTGTTGAATCTACACATTTGTTTTATATCAGCTGTATCTATTCTAACAAAATTGCATATTCATCTATTTTCATCTATTAACATCTATCAACATACATTTTAAATATCAAGAAATTTAAATATTTCTAGATTTTGATTTCCTTTTATTTTCATGATTTTTATTGAATTAATCTGACATTATCTTTTTTCTTGAAAAATATCTTGCTTATTTTTATATTTATTCTTAAATAACTAAAATTTCTTTTGTTAAAATTTCATTGAATATTGTATCAAATTAATTTGTAGAATTCTTTCTTTATTTCAATCAAAATTAACTTTATTATTTACAATAATATTAATTATTATTGATGCAAATATAGCATAAATAATAAAATTGCATTCATCTACATATATAAATATCAACTTGAATCTTTTGAACTCTAATTTAATTAAATTATATTAAATTATAAAAATAAAAAATAAAAAAATTAATATATTAAGTTATATATATAATTTTTATTATATAAATAATTACAAATTGTTAATTTTTTACACTATATATATATAATATAATAATAAATTTTATTATAGGTATTAATTAAATATTTTACAAGATAAATAAGAAATAAAATATATTGCTATATATCAAAATAACATAATGAATAATTATAAATTAAACTATTGTATAAAATTGTTAAATTGTGAAATTTATTGATTTACAATTTTTTTAATTGATTTTATAATTTTAATTGATTGCAGAAATATATTTTTTAATATTTTCATAATAATTTATTAATTATCATTTTTCTAATTTTACTAATAATTAATTATATTTTATTATTAATCAATATTATTAAAGCAATTTCAGATTAATTTTCGCTTGTTAAATATTTAAATATTTAGAAATATTCAAAGCAATTAAATCTTTAATAATATTTTATATTTTAATTCATTACTAAACTAATTTCTTAAAAATTTATCTTATCACAATTTGAATTTTTTCTTCTTATATATATTGACACATTATAAAATGCTATAAATACTGTTTTAAATAAAAATTTTTAATGATAATGAATTTATGATATAATATTAAACGTACAAAAATGTACAAAAAATGATTTTTAATATTTGCAAATTATTTAAATTGCAATTTTCTTTATATTTTTGAAAAAAAATTTTTTTATTTTTTTGTATTATTTTTTATTATTGTCTATTTTACTTTTCTTTTTTCTCTTATTTTATTTTATCATATATATAAATTATATTTGATATTAAGATATTAAATCTCAGTAATATGATATTTTATATCTTTATAATTAATTATAACAATTAAAAAAATATATATTTATATATATTAAATATATATATATATAGTTTATTTTTTATCTATATTATTAACATTATTATATTAATTATATTAATTATTATTGTTTGTGACATTGTTTATTACAGAATCGAATGCAAGAAAGTTTGAAACTATTCGACTCAATTTGTAATAACAAATGGTTCACTGATACCTCAATTATCTTATTCCTGAATAAGAAGGATCTTTTTGAAGAGAAAATTCGCAAGTCTCCACTCACCATTTGTTTCCCCGAATATGCTGGTAAGAATTTTTTTTATATTTACATATTTATTTTTTTTTAAATTTACTATATTCACTAAATGTATCATTCATATATTTTTAATATACATAATAATATTATTAATTATTAATTAACAATTAATTATCAATTATTAGTAATTTAAAATGATTAGCAATAAGTATTATTAATTAATAATTAATTTATTTAAAATTAATAATTAAATTATTAATTATTAAAAAATTATTTTTATTTTAATTTCTATTATTATTTTTCATATGCATGAAAAAAATAAAATTATCGATCTATGAAAAAATAATAATTTCAATATCTATAATATGACAAGATATTTAATATTTATTTCTTTCCAAAAAAAATTTCTTCCCAAATTGTTAAAATTTATAATTCATAGTTATAATTCAATAGTTTATGGTCCATTATGTTACGTTGCAACAAAATTAGAAAAGATAAGAATTTCGAAAATCTGTTAGTAAGGCCATCTATTAGTAAAAATTGAAAATTGTGTATGGTATAAAAATAAACGTGGAAAGTTCACATTGTTATAAAAAATCTGTAATCTGTTGCCGTCCTTGGAATTCCTTCACGCTCCACAAGAAAACTATATATTTTTGTTTGAGATACACTAATTTAAATAACATATAATTTATTGTCATTTATCTTGTGAATTTTTGATACATATGGATTCATTTTTAGATAATATAAATTAAAATGTAAAAAGCAATGCTATTCTAATATTTAATCATTATTTTGATAATTATTGTATAATTTTCAATTTTTTATTTTTCAAATCATAAATCATATAAAAAGACATTTATTTGTATAGAAATTATATATCGTACATGATATTTATTAAAATTTTAAAAATTAAATATATATTTCATAATTTAAATTTTGATAGATAAAATATACATATAATACAAAAATTTTATAAATTAAAAATTATAAATTTATAAAATAACATATAACATTTTTATTATAAAATTTAATTTTATGTTGAAAATTGTGTAATATTCATTTTTTTATATAATTTAATAAATTGTACGAATTTAATTTAATTTTCTTTATTTTATATTCTATATTAATTTTGAATATTTAACTTTTTAAATAATTAAAAAATATTAT